TGGGAAATGGGCTTTTTCAGCCTCCGTAGGGCCTCCAAGGGAGTGGGAAAGGCTGTTTTTGCTGTTCCCAGATACACAGAGAGGATCTGGAACCAGGTAAGAAAGAAAAACGGGCCTACCAGGCCATCATGTGCCAGGAGCGGGGGAGGGAGGGGGTTGCGCACACATGCACGTGGGCACCTACGCGTGTGACCCCCCCGCCCCTCCCTCTCCTGGCACGCGATGGCAAAAAGGTTAGCCATCACTGATCTAGGTTGTTGCCAAGAATTGGCACTAACTTGATAGCATATAATCAATCAATCATGAAACATGATTAAGCATCACTATTCAATATAATATATAAACTACTTCAAATAAAAAGCTTCCTTGTTGTTTTAAATCCATCAGAGGAGGATTAATCTTTCCCCTGTCCTGGAATATTAGAAGCATTAAATTCCTACATAGGACTTTGACGAAGCAATGGTGACTGAAGATGGCTCTGCTGAGAACAGAACTAATCATGGTGGCAGGACAAGGAGCTGGTAAATAGATCAGCTCCTTAAATTCCTCCCCAGATAAAGGAGAGGATCTGGGATTGTCCACATGCACTCCATACAGTGAGTCCCTGCAAGTAGACCATAAGACAGCAGTTTCTCTGGTGAGTTTTAGAGCTCTGGAAGCTGATCGAAAGCCATTTTTAATGAAGTTTTGGTACCTTCAAAAATACACTGGGTTTGCATATGCTTTTTCTTAATCACGTTTGGAAATTGCTTGACAGCTGTTTGGATAGCAAGAATTGTCAAAAAGACAAAGTTTCATTACACCAGGTGAATGAATCCTTAACAAAATAATTTTAATAAAAGTTTAAGGACTTTAAAAATTCTGATTATAGAGTAAAAAGCAAAAGGGTGATTAGAGGTCTGATTGTGGAATGTTATAAATGGACTAAGTGGTTAGATTTTGAAATTAATTACAAACAAGCTTCCTGTTTAAAATTCTATTAAAAATATGTGAACATTTAGAAACTAAGTGTAAGAAATATTCCTATGGGAAAATATTCTGAGTTAGAGAAAAGCACAGGACTAGAAGGAACCAGAAAGAATTAAAGATTATAATTAAAAGGGAAAAGAACCACTAATATAGAAGAAAAATATTTAAATTTGGGAAAATTTTAAGGATATTTGGGGGCAACGCAATCAGAGGTTACTCTTAAGATTGCATGCCACTATAAAAAGGGTCTAAAAGATGTGATGGAAGAGGATAAATGAGTGGTGGATGTGGATTTAAAAATGACAAGCTACAAGAATGATATGGAAAAAGATGTTACACTGGATATACAAATAGTCTTCATAACTAAAATGGACACACAAATAATAAAACAGAAGAATTACTTGGACAACATTCTTATCTTGGACTTTCAAAGCAGATATGTCAAATTTATGAAGGAGTTCCTGAGAAAAAGGCAAAGAAAATGAAAAGAAATACACTTTTGGGATATTATTTAAAGGGATTAAAGAGCAAGATTTTTAAAAACAAAGGGAAGGAATATAAAGTTGGCTTAGCTGATTAAGATTAAAATACATATGGTGTTTTTGGTAGTTTTTATGGATTTTCTGGACTAGGACTGAATGATAAGGTTTTAAAGATTGATTCATATAAAAGATAAGATATGGAAAGAAGAAAAATTCTGTAATATTTTCAAATAAGGAAAGGAACACAAAGTTAGTTTCTTAAGGTTAAAATACAAACATACACACACACATTATTTTTTTGCAACTCTTAATGAATTTTTGCTGATTAGGACTGATGAGGCTTTTAACACTTGTCTTTAGATAAGAGATGAGATATGAGATGAAGAAATCTTCTGCTGTAATATCAGAGAAGGTGATAAGTTATTGAAATTGTACTTGTCTTGATGAAGGGGGTAATCAGTTTCTTATATACTTTTCTTTTTTCTTCATTTTTATTTTTCCTCTGCACTTTTTTCTCTTTGTTTTTTCCTTAATTTGTTGGAAACTAGTTTGTATATTTTTTCCTTAGTTTTTTAATCTTTGTATCTGTACAATTCAGTAACAATTATTAAAAATGAAACTCCTACATGGGAGAACATTTAAACAGTAATTTACCGTAGTATCCTGATGAAAACAGTCCTCTTTACCAATAACTCTTAACTCAAAATTAAAATAAATCAAAAGAGCTTTTGTATTAAGGCATAAAAATTTGAGTCTATTAATAGACTTCTTTGTACTGCTTTGAGCATTACATAAATATATGTAACCAGATCTGTTATATGTTAAAATTCATCTCATCTTAAAATATTATCATTCAAGACATGAAAATGTCCTGGCTGAGATCACATATCATACTCATATGTGGTTTATTTAACCATAGTTGATTGAATTCAAATAAATATCTGAAACTGCCCAGTATACAAAGCCATAAACCATGTTTTACAAGTCACTGTAACCTGATACACACAATATGTTAAACAAAAACCAAATAAATCATCTTATGGGATAATTGATGCTGGACAAAGCACAACTGAACAAAGCTATCGGCCAACATTTTGCCATATTTCAGATAAAATCTAGAAGGGTGCATTTCAGTTCTAAGAGTTGGATCCTAAAACAAGGTGATCGTTTGCTCTGCCTTATTTTTGGAATAGGCAAATCATGCAGGTACAATAACACTCCAGTTTACTAAGCCTCACGTCCACAACCTCTCCAGTGACTATGCATTTTCTAGTGCCCTAAAAAGGTATACAATGACCATTAAAAATGAAATACTTCAGCTTTAACAGCAGGGTGGTTGAAAAAATAATAATTCTCGAGAAAAGAATGCTTGAAAGTTCAAGACCTCACCAAAATAAATATTTAGTGTAAGAACAGAAAATTTACACCATTCAACTTTATTCTCTTTCACTTTAGCCCAGGGCAGGGACTGTATCTTTTATCAACAGAGGACTTTCAAAGTCTACCTTTATTAATTAAGTCCTGTAGCACAGCATAAATATTGTCCGTATATTCAAATGATTTTTGGATGATATCCCCCCCCTCCAAAACTATATTAAAGTGTTCATCTGAGACTTGCTTAACAGGTTGAATGGACAATTTTTCTGGAGTGGAACAGCATATCCAATGAGGGATGGAAGGAAGAAATCAGAACTTTGGTTTGGACATATGAGTCACCAAGGTACCTTCCCTTTCAATATCTTTAATAGTTAACTTCACCAAACTCCATTAACTTTCTGCTTAAGAAAGTTTTGGTCATATGAAACAATATACTTTCACAGGAAAAGCTTCACAAATCTAGTAAACCTATCCTCAAATGAACAATAAAACTAACAGGTTACGCCTTTGAATCTTATCCTGTAGACCAAAGAATATTTTAGATTATGGTGGCATTTTTTTGAGTAGTAAAAAGTTAACAGCAAGAGAGTCATGAGTGTCATTTTCCCCAAAAGATGGGGGAGGAAGGAGAAGGAAAGAAAAATCTTTTTTTTTTTAAATATTGGAAAGGGAGAGCACTTCCTAAAATGACAATGTTAGGCGAAAAGCAATATGCCTTAAACCCAAATGTTACATTTGTTAAGATGTACAGCATACAGACTAGCCAGACAAATATAAAGATAGAGATGAAGGTGGAAGAATTAAAACTGTCATAAAATCTCTACTAAGGAGATTCATAGTTATTCCCAAGAAATCTAGAATAACAGAGCTATACAGTACTCTTGTGATGACATGATTTCAACTAGGGACAAAATACAAGTACAAATGTGACATTCGCTGCCATCAAAGCTTGGGAAAATATCGAATTGATCATTTGTCAGTGTTACCCATGTAACACATGTACATGTTTAGAAACTACAACATGCCGTTACACTTGCAGTTATACAATACCATTCCCAGTTCACCAGGAATATATGTTTGAAGTGGTTCTGAATGTTAGTCCTCTGGAACCAAATATCCCGTTATATAGCCATACAGATGTAAATATATTTGGAAACACTCGCATGCTGAGACTTCTAGCCTCTTGTAAATCCTCCATCTGCTATAACCCCCACTTCCGGGTTGATTCCTCTTTATTGTACTTATTTCATGGGAACAAATGAGGAAATCTCTTCCCAGAAACATTACTGCGAATATGTCCAGGCAGCATTGTGAGGCAGGGCAAAATTGTCTTTGCTAAATTTTAGACCTTGAACTGATCTTAAAAGGATCCAATGCACAAAAGTCAAATGCCTAAAACGGGTAACTCTTCAGATAGCTATGGAAAAAGCAATAACATCTTACTGACAATGGAACATGAAAAATCCTAAATGGTAAAAAAAAAAAAGGTCACTCATATCTGCCAAATCACAATACCTTAAGACCAAATCTGATAAAGAAAGACTATTATTTTATTTACTCCAGCTCCTTCCCCTTTAATCACAGAGCTTGTTAAGGAACATTTATTAACACACTGGTATCTCTGCCAGGAAGACTCCCTCCCATAAATGCCACACTTGTCAAAAAAAAAAAAAAATGCTCCTGCTGGCCTTGCTACACCCATAAAGACCCTTCTTCCGCCTTCCTGATGTCTCTTGACAAATTTAAGAATTCACATTCACACACACACACAGGCCAATTTTCTTTCCCATTCCTATACAATTGCCAGAGAGGTTTATTTGGTGTAAACACGTCATTTGTTAAAAAATAATAAAAATGGAAAGCGGGGTTTAAAAAAAATATACTGAATTATTCTTATATTGGGGATTATTAGCATCCTGGCTCTTGGGGATGCCTTATTTTGTGGTCTGTTTCCTGGAACTGAAATGGAAAAGGCAGAAGGCGGAAAAAGGGAAGGAGAAAAAAAAAAGAGAGAGAGAGAGAGAGAGAGATTGGAGGAGGAAGGAGGAAGGCGGAGGTGAGAGCCGCCTGACCACACCGGTTCGCGCCCTTCCCCGCGATCTGGGGGGGGGGGGGACTTGAAGGGCACCCCAGCCGGAGCTCCCTCCGCCCCGCTCCCTCTGCCCCACGCACCTTCGGCGATGACCTTCTTGATCCGCAGCTTCATGTCGCCCATCTCCACCACCTGCCCCACGAAATCGTTTTGATCCCGGCTGGCGGCTCCTAAAGAGCCGGGCCCGGCCAAGAACTCCAACGCCGACTGCAACAGCGACATGGCGGTTCAAGCCGGGATTGATGGGGGGGGGGGTCGAGCGCCGGGCGGGGGGTTGGGAGAGCGCCGGCCGAATACGGCCGCTTTCGCCTGCCGCCGCCAATTATACCCTTGCTGAGCCCGCCGTACTCGCCCGATCCTCCAGCCCGCACCGAACCCACTTCCGCCAACGTTGTTCGTCAGAGCAGGAAGCCGGGGCCCAGCCCACTTTCTCGGGTCGCCCCGCCCCCCCCCCGCGCCTCCCCCGCCAGCCATTCGCAAAGAGGTAGGTGAAGACGAGAATCTCTATACTTCGGGTGACTCTTCGAAAGTTGTTTTCAGCCAAAGGGCAACGTCGCTTTTGAACTTTGGCCCTTCCCGACTGCGAAAAGATTTTAAGGGGAGCAGCAAGCCGTCCCGCTGCTCTTTGCTTCACATTGCATTTGGACTCGGAAGCAAGAAATTCAATTTTACTTTAGGCCTGCTGGTGTTTGTATGTAGATCTTTGGTTATTCGGGTTTGCTCCCGCATAAAATTGGACGTGTCTTGGCACTTATATATATATATATATATATACATAGACACACACACATATATACATATACACATACGCATATACATATATAATACATATACATATATACACATACACATACATATATACATATAATATATATATATATATATATATATACACACACACACACACACACACACACGTATATACATACATATACATACACACACACACACACACACACACACACACTTGATCTTTGTATTCCAGATTGGGTGGGGCTGGGGGTTAAAAAATAAACCACGAAGTGAAAAACATTCTGTCTTTGCTCTCATAAAACACAGGAAGAGAATACTATTGTCAAAGTAGGAAAAAATTTGGGGGTTTTCCGTTGTCTTCTGTAGGAAGCGATTCCTTTCATAACAGTTGTTGAAAAGCATAGCGAAACCATTGAAAGCACCTTTCCCCTTACGGCAGATGCCTACTTTCGGGCCACGCCCACTAAGGGCTTCGTCCCGCCCCGCTCAACGTTCTAAGCCCCGCCTTCCTCCTCCTCCTCCTCCTCCTCCCGCCCCTCTCTCTTTCCGGTGTCCTGGTCCACTTCTTATCTCTCCTGCCTGCTGGTCGGAATGTTCGCCGCGCCCACGTCGGCTTCCGCGAAGTTGCTTGGACCCTTGTGACGTCATTCCCATGACTTTCGGCACTCGGAGAATTATTGCAATGGATGCCTCCCTAGTCCCTACCTGGTTTCTTCGAAAGGAGAGAAGCTCATACGCGACGTACATTATGCATAGGATACAATAACTTCCACCAGAATAAATTTAAGGTTTCACCTGTTTCCTTGTCTGTTTAACTGGCTTCACCCAACACTAGTCTAGACTGAAACAAGATTTGGCTAGGTCGGAGATGGCTTATTAATGTGTCTTGCAAATACTCTTAAATATACTGCACGAGTCAAAAAGAGGGCTGTGAAAATATTTACAGACCCCTCCCATCCTGGACATAAACTGTTTCAACCCTTACCCTCAAAACGACACTATAGAGCACTATACATCAGAACAACTAGACACAAGAACAGTTTTTTCCCGAATGCCATCACTCTGCTAAACAAATAATTTCCTCAACATCCTCAAACTATTTACTAAGTCTGCACTACTATTAATCATCTCATTGTTCCTAACACTCATCTCCTCCCACTTATGACTAACCTTGTTGCTGGTATCCTTATGATTTATATTGACTATTTCCTAATATGATTTTATTTTATTTATTTTATTTTATTTTAAATTTGTATACCGCCCTTCTCCCTAAGGACTCAGGGCGGTGAACAGCCAAGTAAAAACATCAAGTACAAATATTAAAATACAGTTAATATATATATATATAAATTTGGCCCCATTAATTAAAAACAATAAACAAAACACTTAAAAACACTTAAAAAATTAGGCCAGCCCGGCTTGCTGGAAAAAGAAGGTTTTAAGGGCACGGCGGAAGGCACTGAGGTCTTGGATTCTCCTTATCTCTGGAGGCAATTGATTCCAGAGGGTAGGTGCCCCCACAGAGAAGGCCCTCCCCCTGGGGGTCACCAGCCTGCACTGTTTGGCTGATGGCACCCCGAGGAGGCCCTTTCTGTGGGAGCGCACGGATTTGATTGCTTATTTGTTCCCTATGACTATCATTAAGTGTTGTACCTTATGATTCTTGACAAATGTATCTTTTCTTTTATGTACATCGAGAGCGTATGCACCAAGACAAATTCCTTGTGTGTCCAGTCACACGTGGCCAATAATTCTATTCCACTCTACTCTCATGGTTTTATCTTTAGTACAGGATCAAGATTTAGAGCTTCCCATGGCTGACGCTAGTACTGACATTTAAGCGCAAAACGGGCAGATTTTACTCAGGATATTAAGATCTGGGGAGGAAGTGTAGATTGTCAGCTAGAGAGTTAAACAAGGGCTTGTTTGTTCAGCAGTTCTGTTTTGTACAGTCCCAGTTAAGGTTGTTAGGTGAATCCCAGAGAGCTGCAATGTCTCAAGATCATGTGATCACCTTTTGTGACCTCCTGCTTCTCCATTTAGTTTGCTTATTGGGAGCCAGCAGAGAAGGTTGCAAATGGTTTTAAGTTGTGGGAGCTTCATCACTGGAAGCTTTCAAGAAGAGACTGGACTGGCATCTGTCAGAAATGCTATATGGTCTCCTGCTTGGGTGGGGGGTTAGACTAGATGACCTTACAAGATCCCTTCCAACTCTGTGAATCTGAATCTGTAATCATGTGATGGCAGGACACTGCAACAACACCTTAATTGCAAGCCCTTTGCCAAGGGTCCAAATCATGGTCATGTGATCACTGGGATACTGCGACAGCCAAAGCCAATCAGGACCCGTTGTAAAATCCCCCTTGTTCAGCAACATCATCACTTCAAACGGTTGCTAAACCAGTAGATCTAAAGCAAGGACCACCCTCACCCAAACTAAAGGCAATCTGCATTTCAGCAGTCCTATAGGATGCCTAAGAGAGTCTTGCTAAGCTGGTCTTGAGGAAACTAGTTGATCAGCTGACATTTCCCAGGCTCCCATGACCGCTCTCACATTTTCCAAATCTGGCTCAATATATGTAGGCCCAAGCAAGATTAAAATCCGTGTAAATAAAATAGAGGAAGGATTTCCTTCAGTACAACGTCACTGAGTCCCCCGTTCAACAGAAAAGGGAAATCCAGTTTAGTGTAATGGTTAAATGCTAGTCTAGTCCCATCTTAGACATAAAGCAGGTAGTCCTCAAGGTACAACCACAATTGAGCCCAAAGTGTATGTTGCTAAGTGAGACAGTGAAGTGATTTTTGCCCCATTTTATGACTTTTCTTGCCACAATTGTTAGGTGAATCACTGGAATTGTTAGTAATAGGGTTATTAAGTAAATCTGTCTTCCCCGTTGACTTTGCTTGTCAGAAAGTCACAAACATGATGATGGGACACTGCAACCGTCATAAATATGAGCCAGTTGCCAATAATCTGAATTTTAATCACATGACCATGGAGATGCTGCAATGGCTATATGTGTGAAAAAACAGAAGTCACTTTTTTCAGTGCTGAAAAACGAGTGACATTGAGCTGGCCACACCTACCCTGCCCCCCCCCCCCCAGTGGTGGGATTCAGCCAGTTAGCACGACTTTGGGAGAACCGGTTGTTAACTTTCTGAGCAGTTTGGCAAACTGGTTGTTGGAAGAACCATTAGGGCAGAGAACCAGTTGTTAAATTACTTGAATCCCACCACTGCCCCCCCCCCAGGTCAAACACAACCCTGATGCAGCTCTCAATGAAATCAAGTTTGACACCCCTCCTCTAGAAGATAAGACTCAAGATAGAGGATGATCTTTGAACACTGGGCCCTATCCAACAAAATGCAATTCAGTGGTGAGAAAAATAAAATTGTACAGTTAGGCAAGAAAAACCAAATGCACAGGTATAGAATAGATAGTACCTGGCTCAAGAGCAGTAACTTTGAGGGGGATCTAGGTGTCTTAGTGGACAACCACTTAAATGTAAGCCAGCAGTATGCTGCATTTGCCAAAAAAAGCTAATGCAGTCCTAGGCTGCATTAAGATCACAGAAAGTTATAGTAGGCTTTATACTGCACTAGTAAGACCATACTTGGAATTCTACATCTAGTTCTGGTCACAGTATAAAAAAAGATACTGAGGATCTAGAAATGCAGAGAAGAGCAACAAAGATGATTAGGGATCTGGTGGCTAAACCATATGATGAATGGCTGTGGGAATTGGGTATGAATAGTCTAGAGAAGGGAAGGGGGAGGGGAGAAGAAGAGAAGGGAAGGGAAGGGAAGGGAAGGGAAGGGAAGGGAAGGGAAGGGAAGGGAAGGGAAGAGAAGAGAAGAACTAGGGACAACATAATAGCAGTCTTCCAATATTTGGGGGGCTGTCACAGAGAAGAGGCACTCGAGAGCAGGACAAGAAGTAATGGTTGGAAGATTTTTAAAAGTGATCTAACCTAGAACTAAGAAGAAATTTCTGACAGTGAGAACAATTCATCAGTGAAATGGCTTGTCTCTAGAAGTTGTGGATGCTGCATCACTGATGTTTTCAAGAAGAGATTTGATAACCATTTGTCCAGGATGGTACAGGATCTCCTGCTTAAGCAGGTGGTTGGACTAAAAGACCTCTAAGGTCCCTTCTGTTACAGGTAGTCCTCGACTTACAACCACAACTGAGCCCAGAATCTATGTTGCTAAGTTAGAAATTTGTTAAGTGAGTTTTGCCCCATTTTCTGGCCACATTTGTTAAGTGAATCGCTGCCGTTGTTAAATTCAGTTAACTGTTGTTAACTGAATCTGGTTTCCCCATGGATTTTGCTCAGGGGTGGGCTTAAAATTTTTTAGTAAAGGGTTCTCTGCCCAGTTGCTGGGTGGCATGGCCATGGTGGGCGTGGCCTAGTCAGCCTCCTGCACCATGGCAGGGGGGACGTTTTTGCCTTCCCCAGACTCTGGAGGCTTTCCTCAAGCCTCCAAGAGGGTGAAAAAAGCCTCCCCAGGATCCAGAGACTCTCTAGAGGCCTTCTCGAACTTCCAGTATCCATTTTTCACCCTCCCCGAACCTCCCCACGTACTCTGCACTTACCTGCATCCAAACGTGGAGACACCTGGG